CAAGATGTTTGATGAATAATCCCATGAGATTTCATAAACTGCTGAAATGGGGAAGATAAATACATTCGGGCATTATCACTACGAAATGTTCGAAGAGCAATGAAACTGACAAAGTAGCGGAATCCCAAGGTGGAACTGACCCGACTAGGACCCCAAACATCTGAATGGACTAAAGTAAAAGGTGACTCTGCTCGATTATCAAGACGCCGAGGGAAATGGGAGCGGGTATGCTTACCGAGCTGACATGACTCACACTCTAGAGCTGACAAGTGAGATAAACCAGATACCATTTTCTGAAGTTTTGACAAACTGGGATGTCCCAACCGTTTATGTAATAAATCTGGTGAATCAGTAACAGGACAAGTTGTAGAAGGAAGACAAGATGTGAGTCCATGTGATTTAGCAAGGATAAGGTAATAAAGTCCGTTTGATTCACGCCCGGTACCAATGATCCGCCCCGTACTGCGTTCCTGTATAAAAACATGGTCATCAAGAAATAAAACAGCGCATTTAAGTGATTTGGCTAAGTGATTAACAGTATGAGATTAAAAAGACTATTGGGAACATAAAGGACTGAATCTAAAGGTAAGGAAGGAAGTGGGCTTGCTTGACCTATTGCAGTTGCCATGGTTTGAGACCCATTGGCCATTGTGACTTTTGGAAGAGATTGAGAATACGAAATAGTAATGAAAAGAGATTTATTACCAGAAATATGATCTGATGCACCTGAATTAATGACCCAAGACTCAGAGGATGAAGATTGGGAGAAACAAGTCACGGTATTACCTGTTTAAACAGAAGTTATCTCAAAAGATGTCTGCTTACATGTTTTATACTGAAGAAACTCAATATACTCTGCTAAAGAAACCATCCGACAATTCAAAGCATCGGTTCCCATATCGCTACAATTTGTAGTAGTAGGGTTAACTTGAAATAGTGGAAATAAGTAACTCATGTGAGAAAACTGAAAAAATAGCTTGAAAAACACTATTTACAGCAGGAAAACAGAACACTGTTTATGTGCCGGAAACCTGTTCACGCCGGAAACACTGTAGCTCGCCGGAAATTTCCAAAGTTGTCGGAATTTGTCGTAACCAGAATGGATAGACTCGGAATTCCTTTGCGAGCAAGCTGTCCTGAAGAAATGTTTTCAAAAAATGGCCGGAAAGGTCACTGTTCACGCCGGAAAAATATAAAAGTGGTCGGAATTTGATTTGAATTAGATGGATACGCTCGGAATTTTGAGGAGAGCACACTGTCCCGAAGAAGCTTCGCGAAAAAATGGCCGGAAAGTGGCCGGAACCCTCGCCGGAAAAGTTGTTGCCGGCGCGTGGAGGAGCGTGGCAGCTTTTCTGCCGGATAAAATTTCAGGGGTTGGTCGTCGGAGGGTGATCTACCTCGTGGTGGTGTTGGTTTTAGCACAACACCAACAGAAAGTGACTTTCACTTAGACAAGCCTTAGGTCACCGGAAAAATTGCACGATGACTAAGTTCTTTCTTCCCGGTTAACGCTGGAATGACGCACAACGATCTTTTCTCACTAATGCTCTGATACCATATGAGAAGGCACGGGAGAAAAATATGTTATTGATATTGGATGATAAATACAATACAAGAGGTCCCTATTTATAGCTATACACTACAAGGAGATATTACTCCTCATCCAATGTGGGACAAGACTACACTACATATCTGTAAACTAACAAAAGCAAAGCAAAGAGGGATTTTTAATGTAACAAAGCAGTGATTACGCCTGCAAAAGAGGGGGGATGATTGAGTAAGGAGAAATTGAACATTTGAGAGAGATGATTGTTAAATGTTAGAGCTTTTGTGGTAGTTTTGGTTGTGTTACAGTGGTGGAAAGGGGTTGCAGCGTCTATGGTGTTAAAAGGGAGAAGAAATACAACTTTTTTTTTTCACCGGGAGGGAGAAAGGAGTCTTCTTCTTCTTTTTTTAATTAAAGAATTACAAGTATTTTTCAATATACAATATAATATATTCAAGAAATACACATGTCATTTGATAATTTGTCAGTTTGACATGTCATCCGCGAGTGTAACTCACACATGAGGCTTGTTGAACTCGGGTATTCACGAGACACACACGTGTCAAATAGAAGTGTTTGTCTGGTCATATGCCAAGTTAAGGTGTTCATGTGATTGTTGTGGACAACTTAAAGGGGCAATTTATGTATTTTGCCTATAACTTATGTTTGACATCCATAGTCAAGTTAGTGATGCCAGTAATAGTCCAAGAAGAAGACTTGTTCAATATTACCTCCAAAGAACATCTAACATCTTCGACACTGGGCCATACTATCAATGGCTCCCCAATGCCCAGAGGTTTTTTATCTTCTGAAACTCCAGCCGACATTGAAGAGGCGAGCTCCGCCAACCATTTCTCATCCAAAGAACCTAGGGAGGAGAACTGCAGGAGGCAATTGATGAATCACATAAACCGTATGAAAGAGTAGAATGCAGGAACAGATTTTGTATTTGATAACGCAGGTGCAATATAGAAACATCTGATGAAAGAATCATTGGAGCTGAATGGAATGCAAATACAAATACCTGGTAAATAAGAGGAGATTTCTGAAATTCTTTGCTAAAAGTACATTCCTGAAGAATAGTACGTAACTTCATATGACCCCACTTCTTCAAACTCGGACCTGAATGATATCCAGGCACAGATGCAATTAGCCTAACCTGGAATTGAAGAAATGACGACTTCAATGCCATGTTATCACATTGCACCTTAAATGATACAACAAACAGTTTCCCAGCCAGCTTCTTACGAATGCCAAGCAACGAATTACACTTCTTGTCACCTCCGCCCCGACATGGAAACAAGAATCTTAAACAGAGAATCAGTCACCATGATAACTAGTGAAAGAGGACATAGTACATGTTTGTCAGCTCTAAAGGGCAGCCCGGTGCGCAAAGCATCCCGCATTCATGCAGGGTCCGAGAAAGGGCCGCACCCCAAGGGGTGTGATCTAGACAGCCTACCCTAATGCAAGCATTAGTGGCTGCTTCCGCGGCTCGAACCCGTGACCTATAGATCACACAGAGACAAGGCTTCCCTTCATGTTTTGTCAGCTCTATTTTGCTTTTTTCTTTCATTCTTTTTCTCCTTTTTAGTGGCGAGGCTACCTATGAGCTGTAAATGAGAAGAGAACTGACAGTAAGGAAATGAATATTATGTCCTGGGGGTCGGTAAAACCTCAGGCATCACATCGTTCTAATACAGAATTAGCACATGAAATATGAGCACAAGTAGAGCTTCAGTAAAAGAAATGAGCAAATACCGATGCACTACTGTAATCAAATCTTTTGAAGAACAAGGAATTGATCTTGCAGCTTCCAAAGGCTGGTATATTAACAGTAAATTCCGGCCACTGCAAATTTTAACAGAATTAAACAAGGTCAAGGAAAAAGGAAATACTCCGACAGAAGAGGGTGAATTCAAAAGATGGGGAAAAACTAAATGTCATCAGAATGCAGACACCAGCAGACACCAGGAAAGTGTGATTGGTCCTGATTTATTGCATAACAAGGCAGAGTTCCCTCTAAAATAGCATGTTATGCAGCAGTAACAGATACATATAGTCATAGCTTTCCACATAGAATGAAACGCTTATTTTCTTTATTGCCAAAAAAAAAGTGTACTGCTTCATATATAAATAGGCCATCAAATTTAAGAAACCAAAAGGACTATAAGCATGGGAGACTACAAATAAAGGTTGAAAGTTGTTCGATGCAATGGAAAGTAATTCATCCGGGTTGGAATTCATCTGTACCTTTAACACACTTAGATAATCAACCAAATCATTTTCAAATCCGCCATCCTTGCCCAAATTGTTTTGATCCTTCCATGGGAAATCTTGCATCCACAATCCCTGGCTTTTGTTATTCCAATCAACATAGATCAAGTTTGCAGTATGTACAATAACTCTCACTCCTGTTGGATAGACAAGAATCATGGCTTTTGAATGGTGTGTTCCATACGCAATTGGTAAAGAAGGTTTGTGCAGAATCCAATTTGCCGGTTTGCTTCTCTGTAAAGGAAAAAGATATTGAAGTCACAATTTCATCTAAGAGAAGCTCCAACGACATCAGATTCTCATAACTTAAAACTTTTAACCTTCATATGCTCCATGACACCATCACCTTCTCCATGAATGACGAGAACATTGGGAATCCGTTTAAGAGCTGGACATGCTGCATTAGAAAGGACCAGGAAACCAGTCTTCAGACAAATATATTAACTCAGTCCATAAAAGCAAATAAAACTGGAGTAATGTAAACCAACAAACAATGGAAACCACAAATGAGCACAGATAAGATTCATGTAAAGAGACATTTATAAGACTGCATGCAAGTGAACTTTGCGGTAATGTAAACAAGTGAAATTCACAACAGAAAAGTTTGAAAGGGAAAAAGACTGGATAGTTCCATCAGCAATAGCTGTAAACTTGGACAGAACTGGTAAGCCAGGAAACCACTTCTTCTAACAACCCAACGTCGAAACACATAAATAAAAGGAGAAACAGATGATGGGACAAAACAAGAAACAAGAAAACAAACGAAAAGGCAAAAAAATGACAGAACATACCAGAAAGTAGCCAATCCATATCCACCATGTAATTCGAAAGGATAGCTACAAGCACATTCCCCTGTGATGAAATACAGAACGAAAGTCAAGCCACCAATACAAAACATAGACATTATCCAACAGTTACAGGCTCGCATAAAGGGTTCATCAGTTATCATATTGGTAGTGTAAAGTAAATAGACCTTGGACCTAAATCAACTCGAAAAGCTAGATCACGAGATGAGTATTGTTTAATACCATAAAAGAAGACATCAACGCCCATTCCCTCAACCAACGTGAGACATTCTAACACCTCTGCACATTTTGGACTAGACAGCTGGAGCGTGGAAAATATAACATGGAGGTCCAAAATTGGGTAAACCAAGAATAGGGACGGGTCTAACTATGATACCATGTAAAGAAAATGGACTTTGGGCCTAACTCAACCTTAAAGCTAGCTCATGAGGTGAGGATTGTCAAAAAACATATAAGGAGACAACAGTCTATTCCCTCAACCAAAGTCTTCACTGCCATATAATTCCTATAAACTTTGTCTGTAGAAAAGAATTAATAAATACATAAAAGACTCTAAGACTCAAAAAGGAAAGAAGCTAGAATCATCAGTTCATGCAATTCAGAGGCGAACTTGATATCGCATCTGTTTTCACCCCTTTAGTAATTCGTGAACACTAATGCACCCGGCGGACCAACATCTCATGCAAACATAACCAATCACATAACAACCATAATGGATAACTCTACCTGAATAACATCATTAATAGAAACAGCCTCGGTATTTGCCCATGCTGGAAGCTCACGCACTCTCATTAATCTGAATGTGAGCGGTAACTTACGCTTCGGAACCCTAAACTGGTGTATCGCCTCCACAGAGCTTTCTGTTTCTTGGCCATTGTTGTGCAGCATGTTCTGTATGCCAAAGAAATATGCTTTAACAAGTAAAATTAATTTAAACTTTCTTCATAATATTTTTACCAATAACGTACTAGCGGACTCTACCTACTCAGAGCCAAAATGAGGAAACAAAGAAACCCATACCTTTTCTGAAGCTTCCTCTTGAAAGACTTCTCGAGCTTTCTTCTTACCATGCATCTGACCTTTGTCAGTAATACTTTCTTCACTGAAAGGCCTTTTTTGTTTGTTGATTGTTGAAGTTTCATCCTTAGGAGCTGTGCTAACATACTTAAATAGGTAACGGCCAGGTATCAACTCTATGACATCACCACTTTCAATTTTCCACCTCTCTCCAGACAAAAGCTTCTTTCTCTCACCCTTTAATCTTATGACAACAGGGTTCGTTCCTTCCTACAATCCATTTTCCATGTTTAGTCCAAAGAAAAGACTTCAACAGGAAATTAAGAAGTAAGAAAACCTACGTACTTTTATATCGGTAAATAATTTGAAATGCTATCACAAGGTGTGGACAGAACTCATGCATTTAATAAGCAATGTATACATGACGGCGTCACGACACTAAAAAACTGCCACCAACCCATTGAATCACTCAGTATACAATCCATGCAGACTCAGACAAGCATATTATCAAGCATCGTAGTGTCCACAAGTTACCAAAGGATAGTTCACAAAAAAAACACAAACACACACGCACTCGTGTGTTTTTGTGTATGCACACATGTATCTATGAAGAATCATCCAAAGATTCAACCTGAATAAAGTTAATGGAAATATCCGACCCAACTAACTTGATATTGAGGCATTGTTGATGGATTGATTGATGCATAAAGAAAATACATGAATAGTAGCATATGAATATGGACGTGAAGGAAAATTAGTTAGAAAAGTACCACGAGGACATCAGCGGAGCCAGTGGAGGTGGCAGTGACAGTAAGATGCTTGCGACTCAGCCGTTTATCAGTAACTGGAATGCAATCGCGGCCCACCCAATTAAGCCCTTCTGAAAGTGGAATCTTAGGTATGGAATTTTTCTCATCCTCTTCCAAATAATCACTTACAGGCACCAAAAATCCAACCTTTGGAACCAAACATAAAACAAAATCAATGTGAGAACTAGAAAAACACAAAAAACTAAGGTTGTGTTTGGTATGACGGAAAATGTTCTCAAGGAAAATAAGTCATTTCCTGGTGTTTGGATGCCATAAAATATTTTCCAGAGATAAAAGTTTCCACCAAAAGATGGAAATGTCTTTCCTCACTTTTGGGCAGAAGTAATTTTTCCTTCACAACTATCTCAACTCTTAACTATATATCACTGCTTTAACCAACAATTAGACATTATTACAATCTTTAATACTTAAAAACTCTCATTGAACTCCATCTAGTTTGCTAATAGTATTCTCAATCTTTAATAAATATTTTTTCCCAAAAAATATTTTCCACTCTCATTCTCATCATACCAAACATAACCTAAAATAAAATAAAGTCATGCTACTAATATATAGAGTTTAAGTTTTATGCACTGTCAGTGCAGTAGCGGAGACAGAATTTTCACTAAGGGATGTCAAAATTTAAATAAGTAAATACACAAAGAAGTCAAGGGTATTCAATACATAGTATATATACATAAAAATTAATTTTTAACTATTTAAACCGTGTATTTTTCCGGGAAAGGGGTTGACACTCCTTGGAGCTATGTAGCTCCACCATTGTGTCAGTGTAAAGATTTTATACACTATCAGTGTCACTTTAAGGGCCTCTCTAACCGGTGAAAAGTGGTAGGTGTCCATTAACGGCCACTCCTGGGTCGGCTCCAATGACTCAATTCCGGGAGGAATCGATAGTTGGGCATTTTTCTCGTTACCATTCCAATGTTCAGGCAGGTGAATGCTACTAGGGGAGTGCAGAATAGAACAGCTGAAGATGGAAGAGTGAGAGATGTTGAGCCTAGAGCTCGGGAAGCTCTAAAGGTAAGCTCAAGTCGGTCACTTTAAGTTTAAGGTAATTACAAATAAATTTTACCTGGTAAATACAATAACTAACCTACTATCAAAATTCAAAGGTCAAAATCCACTGAATGCAAAAGATCTTTACATTTTCAGTGTACCAAACTTAAACGCCTAATATATATATGACACCAACTTAGTTGAGGTTCTGTATTGTAGCATAATTTTAATTTTAGAGAATCACTAGCTTTAGACAAATTCAAATTTGTTTGTTAAAGTCAATAAATTATTTTTATTAGAATGAAATGGAACAATAAATCTTGGGAATGAATTGTTTAATAGGGAAAGTACCTGAACCTGAGAAGAGGTGGACATTGAATTGTAGGGTGTTAAAGAAAGGCCAAGAAATTAATTTGGGGTTTGTGAAAATGCAGTAAGGGATGGTAATATGAAATGGGGTTTGAGTTTTTGGGTAAAAGGAAGAGTGTAAGAATGGAAAGGGAGATTTTTGGGATGGCAGCGATGTAGCAGTTGGTTTTTTACCGTTCGGTGCCACCAGCTTCCCCTACTGGAAATGCAAACGAGGGCAAGAAGCATGTACTGTTTTTTCCTGATTAATTTACGTTACTTTTTGTGGGCGTTTGGACATAAGAATTGTAAAAATCCAAAAAAAATTGAAAAAGTTTTTCCAGAGAAAATGGTATTTGAAAATTAGAGTTGTGTTTGGACATGAATATAATTTTGGGTTGTTTTTGAAGTTTTGTGAATAATTTGAGTGAAAATTTTAAAAAATAGCTTTTTGAAATTTTTTAAAATTTCAAAAAATTCCAAAATATATATTCAAGTGAAAAATTATAAATTTTATGAACAAACGCTGATTTCGGTAAAAAGTGAAAAAAAATTTAAAAAAAAAAAATTTCTTATGTCCAAACGGGCTCTTTGAGTTCTCCCTCTTTTGATTTCCATTATACTCCATTAATCCCAATTTACGTGTCATCATTGGAATTCTAACAATTTGGATGTTTTGAGAAGTTCGAACATAAATTTATATTTTAAAATTAGTAACAAGTATTATAAGTTTTAATAATTGATAATTTAAAATTGATAGAAACTAAGAGTCCACCAAACTGTATAGAGAACTAGGTTTTCTATCACTTCTAACAGTAAGCAATAGACTGTAAAACCAAACAGTATTGGGAACCAGGTTCTCTATCTGTTCCCACAGTAAATCGGCAGTAAATAAAGAACACGCGATATTTACGTGGAAAACTCCTTGCTCAAGGGATTAAAAACCACGACCTACCCTAGTAGGATTTCAACTCCACTAAACCGATCAAACTTCAGATTACAACCTATTGCAATCTAGGAATTAAACTCTTAATCTCTCACCCCTTACAATAACTCTATTGTAAGCCCTTTGCAATAACTCTATCACAAAGCAACAAACCTTGACTAACTTTAGTCAAGAAACTAAATCAAACAGTGGTTTAAATCTGTCCTACAAAGACACTTCTTGAAAGTAGTGTAGGATTACAAATGAAGAACAAAATAACAAAGACTCAACAAACCTAAGGACTTAGGATATCTTCAATCTTTGGATCTGGTCCTTGAGGTTGCAGCAACTTTGTTCTTGAGAGAGGTGGTGGCTAGCAATTGAGAGAATATTATCTTTTGAAATCCCTTGCCTCATGTTGTGGGGAGATGATGTCCCTTGCCTCATCTTGATAATATGTGTGTGTGATGTCATCAAGGATGATGCAATAAAGTGTCCTTTAGTTTGGCCTTGGCAAGCTACAGCTGTGCTGCTATACTACTGCCAGACGGTACGGTGCAGCACCCTGCCAGACGGTACAGTGCAGCACCCTGTCAGACGGTATAGTGCAATAGTTTTTACAATTGTAAAGTTGACTGTACGACGACCAGGGGAACTGATCCATATTTGTTCCCTCTGATGTTCCCTTATCTGATTTCATTTGAGAATTGAACCAGACATCTCACTAGTTACTCTGAATGCAAGGGAACTAATTGTATTAGGTTCCTTATCTGGTTCTTTCATGAAGTTTGTCTAATCAACAAAACAAAAGACGCATAACTTATCAATTTCTCCCCTTTTGATGATGACAAACTTAGAATTGATATTCCCCCCGAGAACGAGATCTTCATATTGGTCCCCCTACGAATCAGCCATATTCCCCTTGAGAATCAAAACAAAGGAACTGATCATAATCGGTTCCTCGAGACTGTTTGGCAAATCATCAAAATACAAAATAGTATAACTTATCAATTTCTCCCTTTTTGATGATGACAAACCCAGAATTGATATTCCCCCTGAGAATCAGATTTCTTACATGTACTAATCACATCTGGTCCGTACATGGTTCCTTGAGAATGTTTGGCAAATTATCAAAACATAAAACAGCGTAACTTAGAGTAGTTTCCCCATTTTTGATGATGACAAACCCAAAATTGATGTTCCTCTTGAGAACCAGATTCCTCACATGTTCCCCTGCGAATCAGACCTATAATCAACATGTTATCAACAACGTTTCCCCTGCGAAGCAGAGCTATCTTTCATGCACAACACAGCATATCAATTCGATTTTGTTCCCCCCCTCCCTCCCCTATTGACACCAATGTAACTTCCCCCTTTTGGCATCATTGAAAAGAATAACAGAAGAAGCACAACCAAAAAGAAGTTCAGCAACATTAACTCATGCCACTTGGGCAACACAACATAAACAATAACAAGAACAAAAAGTGAATGCCATTGCACAAAATAGAGTGATTGTCTATAGTAGAGTAATTATAACAAAAGCACAGTAGTTTCAACAATACAGAATATGACAATTTAAACAACTAAAGTACCAATGTCATCAAACATAGGGATCAAAAGAAGATAGAAATTCGAGGAAATTTGGAAGGAGTGAAAGACATGGATCACTGGGCTGGAAGAAAAGTAAGGGGCTAAGGCCTTGATGAGCATGTCCATTCGTTCATTCATAATCCTTTGATCAATGATCATCTACTCTCTCAGGTCCTCCACTTGTTTCCTCAATCTTTCATTCTCACCCTTCAACTTAGAATTATATTCTGCCAAGTGTCCACGGGGACCTGGTCCTCTACCTATCTGAGCAGGTTGAACCATCAATCAGTTCACCAAGAATCTCCCCAAGCTTCTCCTCATCAAGAACAAACTCAGTCTCATACACATATAGTAGCAGAGTATCACATACAACATAGAAGTTTTTACTTCTTCTTCATAAACGTTGGGACTTAGAAGAACAAAGAGGTGATTATATTTTTGGAACTCAACAATGTCAAGAAGTTCCTCCATTTTTCAGCAATATCAGAGTCAACACTCTGCCTAACAGCACTTTTTGAGACTTCAAAGTCTTCTACTTCTCCAAACCTAATAACTCAACTTTTTGCTTATGTAAGGAACCAGGTTCCTAACTCACACTACCATTTCTTTCCCTGAGCGGCCATGTCTCCCTCCTCTTCTTCTTCTTCTTCTTCTTCTTCTTCTCAATCTATTCACCCTTATCATCTGTTGCATCTTTCTCATCCAACTTTCATTTCTTTATTTCTTTTTGAATTCTTTCTCACAAGTGAAGATTTTTCCACTTCATACTTTCTTCCACAATCACATCAGCAGGTCACACCACTTTATCATCAATCATCTTACTTTTCATTAATCATTTTTACTGGATCAGAGGTTCGTTTAAGCACATAACTCAAGAGAAAAAAATCATCATCAGAATTAACATCCTAAGAAGGATTTGAAGGACCACGTCCCTCATTCAGTTCCCCCTTTTCTAGCACATTCACTGATTCCTCCATCCTTCAAGGCTACTAAAAATCCAGCAATAATTTCAGCCTCACTCTCTAGAATATTAGATCTACCTCATTCCTTTTCAGTTAAAGTCCCATCAAAATCTACTAAATACTTCTTGGGTTTCAATTCAGATGGAGCTAGGATTTTGGAAGGTGACAGAGTTGGGTTCATTTCGGCATATTTGGAGAGAAGGATTCTTTTTGAGATAAGGTTGATTTGGTTTTGAAGAAAATAATCGGTTTTGGTTGGGTGTGAGAGAAGGAAATGGTTTTTTTTGGGCAACGGGTCAGTTCAGAAAACATTTAACATTTTGGACTTCAAAAATTTGGAGAGAGACGGGAATAAATTAATGACATTATACTTCAGCAGTTTAAAAAGGCATATAAGTATTGAAGAGACTACTAACCTGAGTCACAGGAACCAGGTTCCTTGACAGTTTTTGAAAATTTGAGCAACAAATTCCTAGAAGTGCAATGTCACTCTTACTTGTTTTGTGCTAAAACTGCCATGTATGTATACCTGTAACAATATAGATTTGAGTTGCCAAAAAATACTTTTTAGCATTGTACCTTTCCTTCTTAACATAGCCAATCATCGAGGGACCAGGTCCTTAGTTAAGCTTGATCAATCCCAACTTCAGATGATTTCTTTCAAAGTGTTCCCTGCTCAACGCCTTGGTGAAGATGTATGCTACCTGGTCCTCCGTCTTCCAGACCTTCATACAAATCAGACCATTTTCAACATTATCCCTCAAAAAGTGATATCGCACATCAATGTGCTTTGTCCTCTTGTGTTGTACCGGGTTCAAGCTGTAAATACACCAAAGTCTTCAAGATGTTTCTTGATATGTAGTAGTTGAGCACAACAAGAAGCATTAACCATGTATTCAGCTTCAGCAGTAGAAAGAGCCACACAGTTTGTTTCTTTGTACCCCATGAGATCAAGCATGACCCAGAAAATGTGTCGTTCCAGATGTGCTCTTTCTATCCACCAGATATTCAACATAATCAGCATATCCAACCAAGTCAAAAGTATCTCCTGAAAAATAGACGAGGACCAGGTTCTGCGTTCCCTTAGGATACCTCAAAATTCCCTTGGCAGCCTTCAAGTGAGAGTCTTTTGGGCCAGGTTCCAATCACTGTTCTGTTTGAAGGCCTAGGGACCAGGTGCTACACTTTGTTCCTCTCAACTGATGGAGTTCTTCTTGCATAGTAGCTATCCACTTCTTTGATGTTCTTAGGCTCGATTTGAGACAAGAAGGCTGAGAGGGCAAACATGCTCCTTTCCTTAGAACTAGGTTGAATACCAAAGTCTAAGGGTGTGATTACATTTTGAAGGGATGTGAACTCTTTTGCTTTTAGTTGGATACTTGAACTTCAGAATTTGAAGGACCAGATTCCTCCACATTTGAAACATCATTGACGCCAACAGAATTATGACTTCCACTCCTTTGTTCTGCATCAGGAGTACCTAAGCAACCCTATGTTCAGCTTCAGTCAAGGTGATAGAGGGACCAGGTTCCTCTGTGCCTCTTGGAGATTCTGCTGCATCTCTTTAATAGCTTTGCTTGACTTGTCTCATCAAATCAGTCTTTACATTTGCAATATCTATAGCTTCACTAGGAGCATTTGTAAATTCTACGTCTTCATTTTCTTTGTTATGTTACCATTTGCCACCATTGTTGAGAACGAAACATTTTGCATCCAAAGGCTCTCGGGTAAGTCAGCCTGGGTTTTCTCCCATTGAGCAGTTCATAGAGAGACTTCTCGAGAAGGGAC